ACGTTATCCATTCTATCAATATTAATGTATTAAGATTTGATTAAAGTAAGCATACATATCGTACCAACGTGCATGAGCTATAAATATATATGTTATGTTTCATAAAAAAAAATCCTTAACAACTCATATACTAATGATACTAACAAAGTAGCAAATTATTTAAAACCATATTAGTAACAATGACATATAATTTATATAGGTTGTTACTTTAGATATGTTTATATATATTTTAACTAAATGTTTGACATGTCTATATTGATAGTATAACTATAACTGCATATATAATTCCTTGATAGGAAAATTCAATCATCTTGAGAAGTATAGGATCAGAGACCACTAGTGGCTATATTTTCCGCTCCTTTAAGATTACTTTAGAGTAAAAGTCGATTTGTTATATGGTTTAAGTATTAAATTCTCTTTAGGTTAACACTGCTATTCCCATTGGAGATCTCACTCCAAGCTCTATCATCACTTATCTTAAATGACATGGTGCAAGTTTTAAATGATTACTTATGCTATTATAGTATTTAAGAACATACTATCTAAAATCCTTATTTTCAAAAAGTGCAAAACGGAGAGTTAATAAAAGATACAATAAACATAGGTGTTTCAACTAGATGAAAAAAATCTATGGCAGTCAATAAAAATAAAATTCAAAAAATCAAAATATAGATTCTTGACTTCATGACATATGTGATGCACCAAGTGGTGCCATAGCTAATGGCAAGATTTCAAACTAATTACATATTTAAAATATACATAGGTGATATACAAAATAAAAATATAAATATGGATGAAAAACATAGAAATCAGTCCCTTGCAAAAAAAGTAACTAAATAAGTTTATGATTAGAAGATACCCCTTAGCCAGCCTTTTTGCTAAAGAGACCCCGAGTTTTTATGAAATCAACCCGCCATCCTGAGTAGTTCAAAAATAATTCAATCAATGCCCCTAGTTTTTATGTTTCGACCCCTGTGTTTTTCCAAAAACGACGCCAGGTCCACAGAGAAGTTTTAATTCATTTTCTTTTATTTTAAAACTAAAAATGAGTTCAAAATAATTACAAGATTGCCACTGATTTTGTTTTGCTCATATTTTCTCCGTTTTAACTACGATTTGACCCGTTCAACTTGGGTTAGGTCCGTAATTCCATAATCTATATGTTCATACTACTGTTAGATATGTTTTCAACTTTTAAAATTCAAGGTTATATTTAATCTATTATTTTATTAAAGAAAATCTTATTTAATTCATATCTTCTACGTTTTAGCTCTGATTTGACCTGTTCAAGTTGCGCTAGATTCATTACAACGAGATCTACGTGTTAGTAACGATATTTATCATGTCACTATTTCTAGAATTTCATGGTTTAAACTATAATTTGAATAATAATTATGTAACTGGATTTTATAAATAAAATATGATTTGTTTTACTTTAGTTTTATAATTCAAATCTAAATTTGACTTAATTCAATCTATATAAGCTTTTATATAGTTAAAACACATGAAACTTATAGTTTTATATTTTCTCTTATGAGTAGATCTATCGGTAGATGTATCTTTCTCACCGTAGCTTCGATTAGCGTGCTTTTCACGTATGTGTGTTCGTAGCAACGTGTAGAACATCTTTCAAACCTTTTTACTTGTTGTTTCATATATTTACTATACTGTTCTAATTTAGTTCTATTGTTTGCTTCGTGTATGATTGCATGGATGCTTGTGTGGTGCTTTATGATCATGTCCAGTCGGTGAGAAGTACGTTGATAAAATAGAAGAAGTTGGTGATCTAGCAGAAGTCTTTTGGAGGTTACAATTCAGTAGAAGAAGGATCTGAGTTTGAAGGCAAGTATAGCATGGGATCTTTCTTGGTGTCCTATACACCTTTAATCATTTAATTCATACTGCATGTGTCTACCTTGATTACCACTAAGAATTTCCTAGTCCTTTGTTATCTTATTTCTTGATACCTATGGGTTATTGCATTGGGTAGTATGATGCTAGTGCTCAATTAAATACTATGATCTTGTAACTTGACTAATGATATATGCAATAAACATTAAAATATACTTTTTAGCAACATAGAACAAGGGAGCTAGAGCATTGGGTTATTTTATGGTGCTCTAGATTCCTCTCCCTAAAGACTTATCTGTAAGTGATCATCCAGGACTTACAGTACAACTGTGAGGGCTACATGGCTCGGGCTTTAGCTCACTATGAGGACTTTTTCTAGCTTGTTAGAGGTTACCTTTATTAGCGTAAGAATGGCTTGCCGAATCGGGTATAAGATAGCATCTACTCTTATGTGTATAGTCGTGATGGAATTGTGCCATTCGACAGGGATTTCCTATATCTGTTTGCCGAGTGAATCTAATGGCCCTAACTTGTTAGACGAACCTTTGAAAGGCTTTATAGTGAACCCTGTTGACCTTCGTTGGTAGTGGGTTAAGAGGCTCGCGACCTCGGGCGAAAGGGTAAATCACGACTCACAGTGAAAGTGTATAACCTCTGTAGAGTGTAAAACTGTTATAACAGCCGTGCTCACGGTCACGAGCGGTCTTGGAACATTTACGGAATAGATGATGAACATTGATGATACTGATGATAAAGATTCTCATTAATGGTTAATTGTTTATGCTATTCATTATTCATGTTTACCTGATCATCTGTTTATATGGGCTTGTGAATAAAATTGTTGCCACCCAATTGCTAAAAGATGACTCATTAAAAGCTAATCGCAGTTAAACCAGTGTCAGCCTTTTTATCCTCATGAACCCCATCACTACGAGAACCAGGAGCTTTGCCGAGTGCTAGGGCACTCGGCAATGCCCCAAAAACACTCGGCAAAGGGTTTGCCGAGTGTAACACTCGACAAACGACACTCGGTGTAGGTTTTAACGGCAAAGAGCTGTTTGCCGAGTGTTAATCATCGGGCACTCGGCAAAGACTTCGCCGAGTGCCCCAAAAACACTCGGCAACCATTTTTTTGAGAAAAATAAAAAAAAACAAGCACCCTGCTCCGTCGGCCGCCACCACCGCCCATGCCACTGCCTCCACCACTGCCCATGCCACCGCTAACACCACCACAAAGCCACCTCCTCCGCCAATGCCACCTCCTGCTCCGCCATGCCACGACCGTCGGCACGCCATGCCGCCGGGGAAGGAGGGGCGCCGGATCCCCGCCGCCACGCCGCTAGGGAAGGAGGGGGGCCGGATCCCCGATGCCACGCTGCCGGGGAAGGAGGGGCCGCCGGATCCGCCGCCACGCTGCCAGGGAAGGAGGGGCCACCGGATCCCCGCCGACATGCCGTCGGGGAAGGAGGGGCCGTCGGATCCCTGCCGCCACGCCGTCGGGAAAGGAGGGGGCGCCAGATCTGGGGAGAGGGCGTCGGATCCGGTGAGGGGGCGGTGGATCCGGCGAGGGGGCGCTGTATCCGGCGAGGGAGGAGGGGGTCATGAGCGGAGGGGAGGGGCGGCGGCCAGATTCGGCGAGGGAGGGACGGAGGAGGGGGTCGAGAGCGGAGGGAAGGGGTGGCGTCTAGAGGGGAAGAGGGCGGCCGGGAGAGTTGGGGAGGGAGGCGGTGCCGACGGGAGGAGGGGAGGGAGGCGACACAAGGGAGGAGGGGCGCTGGGGGCCGGGAGGAGAGGGGGCGCTGGGGGCCGGGAGGAGAGGGGAAGACGAAGGGGTGGGGTGCCGGAGACGGGAGGGGTGGGTTAAGTAGATATTTTTTGTTTGCCGAGTGTCCTAGATCGAGGCACTCGGCAAAGTTCTTTTTATTTTTTTTTCTTCTCCTTCTTTTTCAGAAAAAAAGATTTTATTTCTCTGCCGAGTGTTCTAGATCTAATCACTCGGCAAAGTTTTTTTTATTTTTTTTCTTCGACTTCTTTTCTAGAAAAAAGATTTTATTTCTTTGATGAGTGTTTTTTGACACTCGGCAAACCCCCTCTTTGCCGAGTGTTTTTTTTGACACTCGGCAAACCACCTCTTTGCCGAGTGTTTTTTTTGCTGAGTGTTTTTAGCGCACCACTCGGCAAAGATCTTGTTCGCCGAGTGCCCGAGAAAATACACTCGACAAACATAAAAATACTCGGCAAATTTGAGGATTCCGGTAGTGCATGTTATATTCGTTGAGTACGACATATACTTACGCTTGTTTTATTTTTCAAATATTTGGATAAAAATCCCGGATGGGTACCAGATTGCTAGAGTTTGAAGAAGTTAGACTTGTGATCAACCAGTCAGTTGTCCCTGTGGAATTGGAGTCTTCACCCGAAGATCGGAGTTGTCTTTCCACTGTTTGTTGTCTAAGGTTATATCATTTATACTAAGTACGTTATATATTAAGCATTGTCTTTTGATATTACCCTTATTTGTAGCTATATGTGAGATTTGACTTTCTGAGCTCACATATGTATCTGGTTTTTTATTGTTAAAACCGGGTGCTACATGAAGCAAGAAAGTGTGCTCATCAGGGATATCTTAATTGCTGTCAGGATCGAAACACTTTCTGGTAATAAGTGACATTATTTCTTCAATTTCCATCCAAGATGTGACGTCTTGATTTCATGAATGTTGCTGGCTGTTTCTTTCATATTGGCTCGTTCGCTTGGTAATGAATGTGCACAGCAAAGTGCAGCTTGCAGCAATGGCGCCAAGAGCATTGGTGTACTACATTTTCTGGTACCATCTTATTCTGTGCTAGGTCCTTGCACTCTTCTTGGAGTTGAGGATCAATGACGTTATAGATTTGATGTGGAAAATTGCGCTCCACAAAGTTGACAAGGTTGAGTCCGTCCATGAACATAGGATCTGTTGGCCTTTTGCCTGTCATCATCTCTAGAAGTACTATCCCGAAACTGTAAGAATCTCCGGAAATTGATGCATGACCACCTTGAGCATACTCTGGAGAGAGACAAGTACGTGCTTAGAGTTTAGTCGTGGTGACAATAAAATGGGTATGTTAGATATGGGCAAACTTAATAATTAACTAACAAAGGAATACCTGGAGCAATGTAGCCTATGGTCCCCTTCACACCGATGGAACTAATTGAACCTGGTGGTATCAAGCGAGAATCAGCATAAAACCTTGCGATGCCGAAGTCTCCTAAAAGCGCATTCATGTCTTCATCCAAAAGAACGTTGCTGGGCTTCAAATCGCAATGAACAGTGGGCCTTCCGCAATCGTGGTGTAAATAGTCCAGTGCATCAGCAATGTTAGCAGCTATGCTTATTGTTTGAGTTAGGCCTAGACGCTTTGCAGCTTTTCCATCCCCTTTCTGGTGTATCCACGAGTCTAGGTTGCCGTTAGGCATGAATTCGCAAACTAAAGCTTTAAAAACATTGCCTATATTGTCCACTGTCGAGCTTGCAGTTATGATGGGAAGAAGATTTCGATGTTGAATGCTTCTCAATGCTTCACATTCTGCCATGAAGCTTCTCTCCGCACCTCGCATCTCGAGGTTGAAAACCTTCACTGCCACTTGAAATTTTGATTCCTTTATGGTCCCTCTATACACTGTACCATAGTCCATAGCTTCCTTTCCCAACAAGGTTGGATTCTGAAAAACTATTCGTGGCTTGTGCCAGATCATTGTAAGAAACTTTGAGGAAATCGTAGCCACCTAAAGAGGTCGATTCTAAATTTTTTCTTCTTGGCGACTTCTTTTCAAGGAGTAAAAAGCATATCAACACTAACAGCGACATGAAGCCAAACACCGGGATCAATATTTTAATCAAGTAATATTTGCTGCTGTTTTTCTGAGAACCTGTTGGGCAGGGGGGCAGACGAAGATCGCCTACTCCACCACACAGGCCCTGATTTTCTTCAAGTGAAATGGCAGTGGCATTTTTGAAAACCCCATTTGTTGGTATTTGCCCATGGAGATGATTGTACGAAAGATCCAGTTCGTCAAGCAATGATAAATCACCTAGATTTGTTGGGATGGTGCCTGATAAACTGTTATGTGAAAGATTCAGCACGCTCAAACTGCTGAAGTTACCAAAATATGCTGGAATGCTCCCTGTCAGCATGTTTTGGTCCATCTGGATGTCAGCTAAGGCTAGACATTGGCCGTAACTATCAGGAATTTCTCCACTAAGCATATTTGCTGAGAGATGTATGTTGAAGAGTTGCTTAAGGTTACCAACCTATGGAGGAATGTTGCCTTGAAGATTATTGTCACTTAAGTCTAACTTTTGAAGTCTTTGAAGATTTCCTAAGTTCTGAGGTACGCTACAAGTGAGACTGCTTTCATCTAGTGTTAATTGAACCAACCCAGAGAGTTTTCCTATATTTGGTGGGATTGTACCTGACAGCTTGTTTCCACCTAAAATTAAGTACTGAAGAGTAGATGATAAGTTACCGACTTAATTTGGTATGACCCCCTGCATCTGATTGTTTGATAGTGCTAGCACTTGTAGAGCACTGCAGTTTTCTAGCGCATGTAAGAATTCCCAGCTTTCACTATCTTTTGCTTCAAGCATGTTCAAACCAAGGTCTAGTCTAATTAAACTTGAAAGCTTCCCGAAGGAGCTAGGGATCTGACCAGTGAAGTCGTTAGACTGTAGACCTATGTCTTGTAGCATTGAAGCATTACCTAAGGAATCTGGTATGTGACCTTCCAGCCAATTCTGGCCCAAGTATAGCCTTTCTAAATTGGAGAGACGATCACCCATATTGCTTGGTAGGCTCCCGCTTAGTTGATTTGCACGCAAATGTAGTCCTTGAAGTAAGGACAAATTAAATAGGCTAACAGGGATAGTACCTGATAGCCTATTTGTCCCAAGGCCCAGCATCGAAATATTTGAAAAGTGGCCAAGTTCATCAGGAATTGTTCCTTCAAGTTGATTTTCTTGAAGAAAAAACTCTTTTATATGGGTGATGTTACCAAGGCTTGGCGGGATAGTCCCTGTAAGATTATTGTTATTAAGGGCAAAATAGACTAGATTCTTAAGGAGACCTATTTCCCGAGGAATTGCACCATTGAGTAAGTTATGGTAGAGACGCAACTCCTTGAGGTTGGAACAATTTGTGAGCGTGTCTGGAATAACCCCATCAAATGAGTTGTAGCTCAGATTAAGGATTTGCATCTTCTGGAGATTGTTGAGATGTGGTATTTGGCCAGAGAACTGATTGGTAGACAGGTCTAGTGTATGAAGGAATGTTAGGAATCCAACAGATGGGGAAATCGGGCCTGACAGGCCTTGGTTGTAAAGTTTGAGTGCCGTTACTCGCCCGTGGTTCTTCTGGTTACATGTGACACCACTCCAGTTGCAGTAGTGGATGCTAGTGTTCCACGAGCTCAAGGATCCTAAAGGATCTGTGGTGACTGCCTTGAAATCAATCAAGGCGAGCATGTCCGTGCTATTCTCAGGGACGGTGGAGCAACAGACATTCCTTACACCATGAGACAGCAGACACAATGCTAGCAGTAGCATCAGCATGGTGAGTTTCACTTTCACCTGCCGGTCCTCGGCCATTAGTGGCCTCGTTACCTGCAAAATACGTGGTATAAATATTGTGGTGTACTACTATATGTTTACCGGCGAAGCTAGCTACTTTATGCCAGCACATGCTGCTCTGCCCTCTTGCCATGCATGTACAATATTATGGAAATGGAAGTAAGGAACTGCACTCGACCAGTAAAGTATATAATGCTAGCAATCCAAATAAGCACAAGGTTTAACTTTGTTTTTTTGTTTTTGTTTTGATGAAACTGGAGGGGTTTGAACCCCTACAGGATTTTATTTAAAGCAAGAAGGAACAAGTTACAGAGTACTAGCAAAATTAAGAAACGAAAAAAGAAAGGAAGAAAATGAGCCCAAACAATGATATTAACTTTGTCAATGTTCGAATTGCGCTGCAAGCAATTGATGCATGACGGGTAACAGCAGAGCCCAGACCAACATAATTGCTGAAGTAGTACTAGAAGCCTAGAACTGAGCACCAGGAGGAAATAGAACAACGGACCTCTGCTTGGCCGAAGGCCGAAGCGTCTTTTCTTGTGTGGCTTTGCCGGGTGGTGTAACGTATGAGCTGTTATGAGCCGTCAGCTGCCTGCCCAGGGGTTTAAAAACAGTTTTACAGCCGCAAACATCCACACACTTCCGTCATCATCAAGCCTCATCCCAGAATAATATGTACAACTACTTTGCAGCGAAGACCCTAAGTCCGTCAAACTCGTCAGCTACCTCTACTTTGCAGCTTCCATCCCGTCTCTCAGCGTCGCCGTCGCTGTTTGAGATGGACATGATTGTTGCGACATGTCCAGCCTCGCATCCCAGAATAATTTTCAGCTGAACCAGAAAGAGATATTCCGGACTAATGCGCGACCTGTCTCCTGCGGGTTTCCATGATGAAGTTCAGTTCGTCGAACGGTCACCAGTGCTGTGTGTTCGTTTCCAAAACCAATGTTGTTTATTTGTGATGATCGGCCTTCCAGAATTTACTTTGTGGACATGATTTATTCATATCTTATCTTTGACGACAGGGTTGCAGGTCAAGTCAACTTGTTGATATGGACACGTATATATGCTGTACAGTGCCGTGCTCTGCAGGATTTTCGCAAGTGACGAATGTCGTCATTTGAATTGGAGAAATATATCTGGTGAAACAATTGAGTTTTATGAAGGGTGGAAATATGTGCACCTCCTTTTTTTATGTAAAAAAAAAGTTCGTTTGAGCAGAGATAGACGCAAGATATACTAAAAAAGGGTCATATATTTGAATTTTGTATTTTTGTCGAACACAACTAGAAAAGGGGCCTAGTCATCACCACATTATTGCTGGTTTGCTATGAACCGATTCACTACATAATGAATAATCGAACAAGTGACTAGAGCAGGGTGAACGGCAGTCTCAAAATTTAATTCTTTTTTTAATAGTAGTCTTAGGAATCGTTGGAGTATGTGTGGTTTTTTCTTCTAATAATTTTTAGCGAACATTCAAAAACCAGTTTTCTTGCACTATTTTTTTAAACAAAAGCAGGAGCTCTGTCGTTCAATTAAGATGAAAGAATAATATGTACAAGCATGTTAGCCAGACGAGATGCCAAAAAGACACCCGATAGGCTAACCACCCCACGTGACGCGGTTGAGCACAACACGACAAGTTGCCAAGGGTCATCGTTGCCGAGCAAGGAAGCCAAGCTGCCAGCAGTTCCGACTTCCCATAGCAGGCTACCTACTGATCACCCCCAATGGATCTGAAGCTAACGGCCACCACAGGTCATCGTTGCCAAGCTCGAACCGAAGAGTAGCTCCGACTTCCAACGCGAACCCTCGCCCTGCATCGAAACCGCGACGATAATCCAAATACGATGCCTTCACGAAGGGAGTGCCGCCGATGGCGCCACCATCGCACGTCCAAAAGTGGATCAGGTTTTCACCCTTGGAAGACATGGAAGAGGGGAAACGCGACGCCCCCAATAGGGAGGCGGCGCCCAACGGCGTCGCCGTCGTCAAGGCTTTCGCCCATGAACCCTCTAGCATGACCACCGAGTCGCGAAGCTGGACCCCCTGCCAACCTTCACTACCATCGCCGTTGTCCCGCCGCCCCACGAAGGCCCCTTCAGAGGGGCATCGACGCGCCGGCTGCATGCAGCAGCCGCACAGCTGCGCTATCGACCACCCCCTCTGACCGGGCCACACGCAGAACCGGTCCTGACTCCGCCGCTCGGGTCACACCGCCGCACGCCGAGGCCGCATGTGACCCACGTCGTCGGCGTTGGTACCCGCCGAAGTAGCTGTCGAAATCATCGCCAGCAGCCACAGGGCATGTGCCCCCACCATCTCGGGTGCACCCCCTGCCCTAGGGCCGCCAGATCCAGGCGCTAGGGCCCGAGCCCCGAACCCGGTGTCCCCAGCCATCGCCGCCGCCTCCGTCTTGACCACAGCCACAAGCACTGCCTTGGGTTGGCCTGTCGCCCAGGCCGTCGCCCTAGCCACCAGACCGGTCGCTACTGCCTTAGCTAGCCAGCAGAGGTTGCTGCCCCAGCAATAGCCAGCCCCTGAGGAGGTCCGACCGCCGCCATAGCAACCAAGGCCATGAGGGGAGGGGCGGCAGAGAAGAGAGCGCCGCCCCCAACGCTTGCACAAGCCCCGACTACCGTCAGATCCGGCCGCCTAGGGTTTGGATCCGGCCTCCCGGGCACCGGATCTGGCCGCCCGAGGCCTGGACCGGCAGCCCCAGCCAACGCCGTCGCTACCATCAAGAGTGGAGGAGGGGAATGCGCTGAGAAGAAGAGGACCCCGCCGCCATCTGCTGCACTTGCACGGGCACTTGCCGGCGCCGTTGCAGCCACCCGCGTCGGACTCCACGCCGGTCGCGCGAGGGATGGACCGTCGGCCCGCTGCAGCATGCGCCACCAGCACCCAGGAAGGAGAGCCCCGCCGCCACTATCCCGGCCGGCCGGACGGCCATGCCGGCGGCCGTCTCCAGCGGCGGCGTGGCGGAAGAGGAGGAGAGGAGAGGGAGAGCTGCGGCGGGCTTGGGAGCCGCCCATGTCACCCCGCGTGGGGGAGCGACGCGGGGGTTTCTCGTGTCAGATTGTATGGAAGCTCATTCGAACTTTTCTTAGAAAGTCAAATCATTTTAAGTTTGATCAAAATTATAGAGAGAATTATAAAGATTCATGACATTAAATAGCTATACTATAAAAATATAATTAATTTGTATCATAAATGTTATTATTTTATTATATAAGTTTGGTCAAACTTAAAATGTTTTGACTCTCGGGGAAGTTAGAAATGACTTATAATTTAGGATGAAGAGAGTAAGAGATAGCAAAGATGTGACTGTGTTTCTATAATCAATTCCATCCCCCTGACCTATTGAATAACGCATAAGAAAAGGTGGTTTCAAGTTACGAAAAGATTATTTGCATTTACAGAAACTTTGCTTAGAATTGGAAAAAAAAGAAAGATTGTGTGTAAAGATGTTAATCGTTGTCCAGTGCAACGCACTGTATGTTTGATTCGAGAACGAAGTTGCATGGGATATGACGATCCATGGATATTGGGATAAGGATATCCGTGATGTATGTTTGGTTGGATGGATGGGATATTATGATAAGGATATCCGTGATATATGTTTGGTTGGATGGGGTTAGATGGATGAAAGTGGATGGGATGAGAATAGTCGACTAATTATATCTACTATTTAAAAATCGTTTTATCCCAAAATTGGGGATATGTGTTTACACCAACATTTGGGAGAAGAGCGCAGGAACTCGCAGGCTTCCAAGATTGTGCCAATCAAGTAGTCGATTGAGTAAGAATTGATATCTGTCGGGTCGACTACGACACTGGGATCAGTTCTCTCCGAATGATGTCAGCAGATAACGATGATGAAATAAGATTGGCATCGAGAAAATACATATCGGACTCTACAAAAGGGGGAAAGATTAGAGTCCAAATTATCTTAAAATAGGAATGTTTTCTTCGTACAAAAGATTGTACTGAGTCATACTCGAGTAGGATACGTTTTTAGGCTCCGAGTATAAATACCAAACCCCGGCTATTGTAAAAACACACAATCAATCCAATACAAGTTATTTACTTTTTTGGCTCTGGCCACCCCTTAGGAGTAGGAGTAGAGTAGATCTCGGTGAGTTCTTCAGCAAGTACGGCTGCATCGATCCGATCGACCTCTACTGCTTGTCTGTAAGTACCGTAATGGCTTATACCTCTGTTCGTACGGCTGCATCGATCCGGTCGACCTCCACTGCGACTTTGGTATGAGTTAGTTATCGACTCTTGTCTAGTTCAAGTACGGCTGCATCGATCCGGTCGACCTCCACTGCTCAAACTAGATTATGGTCAAGTTATCGGCTCTATCTAAGGGTGGCGTTCCTTCAGATAGATTCATTAAGTTACCGATATTGCTTATTGCTTCTATTGTTTATTTAATTACAGCAATATCACTTCGCCCGATTGAGATTGATCTAGATCGGCCTTATATCTTTTTTAACCCATCATTTGTTAATCTAAACTGATCTAATCTGTACTTTAAACGATGAGTTATGTTGGTTAAGACGTGTTTGATCTTGAGTAGATCTATTGGCTAGCAAAAATTGTTCCATAGTCCATTATCATGGCCTGTGTGATTCTGCCTCACACCCTACTATTAGCACCGTAGAGTAGGGATCGTTATTTGGTAGATCTGTTCCTGAGAGGACCTGACCTTAACTGTGTGCAATGCCTGAATCGGCTGTTTTAGCCGATATCGAGCGCTTTCACGAACAGTTCGCATCACAAGATCGTTGAAGTAGTGATAGGTTGAAAGATGTGCGCTATGCTTGAATCAGCTGTTTTAGCCGATATCGAGCACTTTCACGAACAGTTCGCATCACGAGATCGTTGAAGTAGTGATAGGTTGAAAGATGTGTTAGCCCCATGATCTTATTATTGTATTATGGCCTAAATGATTCTGCCTCATGCCCCACTGATATTAGTAATAAGTTAGGATCGTCGAGTCTATT